AGGGCGTGAACGAAGGAATAGAGTTGAGTGAGGAAACATGCAACGGGGACATGAAAGAAAAAGCCCTTGCAGAGAAGGTTTATCAGAGGAGGAACTGTTTGGCCTGGGTCTTCAGCAATGAGGATTTCAAATGGGCAAATGCGGGAGTAAACAAAGAGCACGTGCACAAAGCTGTAACTTACAGGCCGTGGAGGAGGTCCAGCTGGAATGGGTGAACGGTGGAAATGACATGAAATAGAACCGAAACACAGTGGTGAACTGCTACACGTCTCAGAACACAAAACAAAACCCCGAAACCTCAATACTGATTTTGAGGCATTTCTCTCAAATGAGAATTACTCAACTGAGCATCTTTGGCTTCCCAGTCCCCAGTCTCCACACTTCCAGTCTAACCAGACTTGCTCCCACTGTCAGTGACCCTCCTAAAACAAAGGTCTGGTCATACTCCTCTTTCTCACAAACCAGGAGTTCCTACTGCCTTTGAAATGAAAACAATTTCTTCAAAATGTTTCAGTTCTGATCTCCAACTTTCCAGTCTTACCTCCCGTCATACTCTCTCCTCACAGACCCACACCCCGCCAGGCTGTTCCCCACCCCTTGCGTGTACACACACCTTCCTCCTTGCCTTACCCTTTCCCTGGGGATACCCTTCCTCAGAAACATGCCTCCTCCACAAAGCCCTCCTCATTTCCTCTAACCAGTCCTTCCCCGTGTCCCTTCGGCGTGGTCTTCACTCCTCCACGCACTTACTTCAATCAAGCTGACTAGACTCTGAGCGTCATCCATTTCTGTATCTCTCTCCACCCCCAGCTTCCAGCACAGGGTCTAAGACACATATACACACATTAACTGATGAAATTAAATGAAATATGTAACTAATCACCAAAGCAGGGGAAGAGACAACAGGATGGAAATGAAATATGTTAGAAGCCTAGCTTTATAAAACATCTCTCAAGTATCTTTTAGTTTCAGATGAAGTCCAAAGCCATACTGGTGTATAACCTATAAAGGGTAAAAAAAAAAAAAAAATTCAAACCACAAAATCAGTGTGAGTTAATTTTCACTAACACAAAGTCAATGGACCTTTTAAGGAGCAATACTAAAATAAATGCAGCACCTCAATTAACAAGAACGAATTACTCCATTTCATTTGGTGTCACCAGGATATTGACTGGATGCAAATGAAATTAGCTCAACACTCAACACTGATGTCTGTCTTGCCACCCAGTCTATCACTGGGGGCCTCTCCAGTGACTGCGATGAGGCAGACAGCACCAGGCTGGCAACCATGTCAGCTGATGGGGCAGCCATGACCAGGTAGAAGCTTGCCCCAGCCTGTCCCTTCCTCAGGGCAGGGAAGTGTGAGCGTAGGGGAAGGGGAATGTGACCACATGGGTACGAGGGTCATCTGGAGAAAGAGTTGAGCAAGAGGGAAAAGCGTCATCATACAGAGACTGGACGTCCGCAGCGGGCGAGCCTGACATCCACGCAGCAGCCTGCCTGGTGTGGGCAAGGAGGACACCTGCTTGGCAAAGCTGGAAGCGCATGCAGAGCCGAAATCCCTGGTTTGTTTTGAAACAGATCCTCTTTCAATACTTACTGTTGCCAAGTGGCCATGATGGCTGCTCTGTCACATGGTTACCAAGAACTAGGTTAAGGGAACTGAAGCAAATTCTCCTTTTTAGATAATGTTTTTCTAGCAAGTTCCAACACCAGAAAAGCAAGACTACACAAG